AACAACCACGTCCACTCGTCCACCCATCGAACCCCCCTTCTGTCAGGGCACACCTGCCTGACCCGGGCCCACCCGGGCCCACCCGGCCACACCACACCCGCTCCCCGCTGTCTATCCCCCTCCCCCTCCTTCCTCCCTCTCCTCCCCCTTCTTTTCCCTTTTCTTTCCCCTTTCTTTATTTCATTCTTCTCATCTTCTTCTTCCTGTTTATTTCTTTCTATCTACACGGACCACCTTCCCTTGTATCGATGTACTATTGACCCGTCCGGCCCACACACCCCGGACGGCTTCCCGCTGTGCCCAGCACGCGCGCATGTAGCGGACGCTCTCGGGATCCCCCACGGGGACACCCGGATGCCTGCGGCTGCCTCCGAGGATGACGTGGCACCTGTCATGTGACTCAAGCCGCATGTACATAAATGTACCTGAAGTGGGAACCGAAGAAGTAACCTTCTTCTCACATTCTCCACTTCAGTCTGAGTGGCCAGGGACCACTGTCCCAGATCGGGCCCGCCAGTATGCACGCCCGCTCCACACCCCGCGACGGCCTCAGTGCCGGGCATTACCCCCGGGCCCTCTCGACCCCGGACGCGTCCCTGACACCTTCGAGCTTGACACCAGGCACCATCCCAGGATGGGGATGGAGCCCACACGTATGTCTGAGGTAGAAGCTGCTGACACCTTCTCATCCAGGATGATGAAGATGCAGGAAGAGGCGAAGGCAGCTCTGGAGCATGCAGCGGACGAGATGGCCTGCTACTATGACCGGGGTCGAGAGACAGCCCCCAAGTACCAGGAGGGTGACCGAGTCTGGCTCAGCGCCCAAAACTATACAACTGACCGCCTGACCAAGAAGCTAGACCATAAGTGGCTAGGCCCCTTCAAGGTCGTCAAAGTCATCTCCCTGGCTGCTGTCAAGCTCCAGCTCACCACACAGCAAAAGGGAATACACCCAGTTGTATCCGTGATGAACGTAAGACCCTACCACCTGGACGAGATTGCAGAGCAACCCCCTGACCCCTGCCCGGGCCCAGAACTCGTAGATGGAGAGGAGGAATATGAAGTAGAGAAAATACTGGACTCTAAGTGGTTACGCCGGAAGCTCTGGTATTTAGTAAAGTTTGTGGGTTGGCTGAACTCAGAGAATGAATGGCTCCCCCAAGACCAACTAATCCATGCCCCTGACTGGATCGAAGAGTTCCACCAAACACACCCCCATGCCCCAGGAAGGGAGAGAACAAACCCCCTGGCCACTTTGAGGCGAAGCAGCTTAAGGAGGGGGTGATGTCAGGGCACACCCACCCAACCTGGCTCCACCTGCCCTCACCCGGTATCCTGCTCACCTCTACTCCTCACCCTTCATCACGGTTCCTCATCTCTTGTTCTTCTTTCTGTCCTTTTGTTCTTTTGTTCCTTTGTTCTTTCTTCTATCTTTATCTACACGGGCAACCTTTCCCCATATCTGTCAGGGATTGGCCCCTGACCCCGCTGTCAGGGCACCCAACCACACCCCAGAACCACCCTCCCTGACTTCCCCACTTCCCTGACCTCCCCATCCCTACATATCTCTCACAACTACAGCCTGCATGTGAGCCCATGGGAAAAATCACATGGGTCAAGGCGAGCAACTCACCTTAACCCATGTGACACCTTTTCCGAGTTGCGGGAACATGCTCGGCTTCTACCCAGAGTCACGTTATGAACTGTACAGTATCCCTTTTATAGCAGCCAAGCAGGGAATAGGGAAACTTACCCTTCTTCTCAACTCAATCCCTGCTTAGGCAAGTTGTAGTTACCCTCTGTAATACATGACAACTCAATCCCCGCTTAGTCCCTTCAGTGAGTTTGAGGAGCTGAGGACAGGGTCTAGCACCCAGCCACCTGGAACATTGCACACACCTAGGCCTGAGGCTGGGCTGTCCCCGATCGAGGACCGAGCCCTGACAATATCTATGTATTATTGACCTGCCTGCGATGCACGCACAACACACCCAGCCCTGGATGACCCGGACGGCCTCGCAGTGCAACTGTCATGGTGTCAGGGGACGGACCCCGGGTCCCCATGACCCCTCTCTACAGTCCACAGTCTAGCCTGTAAACACAGCCCATCTCAGGGCATAACTACTGTGGGTAAGAAAGTGGTATAAACAAAGGGGCAAGTAGATACACTTGCCTACTGTGGGTAAGAAAGTGAGAAGAAGGTTAACTTCTCACTTTCCCACAGTGGCCCCAATATGGCGAAAACTTCCGGGGATACCCGGAAGTCACATGAAGGGTGGGAACCGGGCCCGGAGCATGCGGCGCACAGAGCGTGCAGGGCGGAGGCGCACATGCGGGTCCAGGTGCGGGTCCGGATGCGGGTCCGGGTCCGGGCTAGTCAGGGTGTGTGCCCTGACACACGGCCCAACATATCCGTCACTTCCATCAACGCGTCCTAGTGTCACTTGGCCCATCCCGCCTGCTATCATCATCATCCGTCCATCCATCTGTCCACCCGTCACCCTCATCCGCACTTCCTCCCCCGCGTGCGTACCTTCCAACCTAGGTTGCCCGCTTCATTATTGTCTGCCCCCAGCCGGACGGCTTGCTAGACGGCCGGATGGCCTTTTCTCTTTTGTCGCTTGCGGACTATTGTTCCTCCTTTTGTTTCTTGCTTTCCTTTTGTTGACCAAGTTTGCCGATATTAATTATTTGTTTCTTTCTTCATTCATTAATATCACGCTTGATCCACCACTCTTTCTGGGCCGGTCCTATTTAGTTACTTGTGTTTATAACACGTGTAGGTTACACCGGATGTACCTTAGTTCGTATATCGACTTGGATTCCCCCTCTAAACTCTTATCCTCATCGTAAGGCTTCTGTCTGAAATTGGGACACCAACGTAAGAACGAAGCGCAGCGCTCCACCCGAGTCGCTGAAGCTAAAAGTCCCGCCCCTCCGACCTTACGAGCCTGGACGACTTCGTGCACCTCGCAGGTCACCCGGATACGCTTCTGGCACGTTCCTGACAGCAACCCAGCATGCACACATGCAGCACATGCCCTCGGGATCCCCCACAGGGACACCCAGATGACTGCAGCTGTATGCGGGGTGACATGGCAAACCTCATGTGACCCAAGCCACATGCACATAAAGGTACCTGGGGTGGGAACCGAAGAAGTAACCTTCTTCTCACAGTTCCCACTTCAGTCTGAGTGGCCAGGGACCATCGTCCCGGACCGGGCCTGTCAGTATGCATGCCCACTCCACACCCCATGACAGCCTCAGTGCCAGGCATTACACCCGGGCCCCCTCGACCCCGGATGTGTCCCTGACATGCACCCAGTGCACCAGTGATCTCAGATTCATCACTAGACAGAGCTTCAAGTTCGCTCATCATTGCATAGTCAGAGTCAGGAATGACTGCGGAAACTTTTGCTGCAACTTGCAGCTTTTTGTTCTCGTGCTTGACATTTATAACTTCTTTTGGGGTAACTGCACCCAAAGTGACAGGACCATTGGGTGCCTTGGGCATTTCTTGAATTATTCATGCATTTGTGACCGCAATCGTGTACTCTGGAATGCCGATCTGCTCTGTTTGGTCAGCCTCAATTGCCTTGGCTTTAGTGTGCGACTTTCTGGTCTTCCTCACGATGGGAGGGTCAGTGGCAGAGGCGAGAATAGGAGAAATGGGGGCAAGAATGGGGGAAACAAGGGCGGGAACTGAGGAAACAACCTGGGGCTCACTTGGTGTTGGAGGAACCGTGTGCTATGGGAGGCCGGACGAGTTTCCGTACAGCCACATTCCTACATCCGAGCGAGGAACTCGCCCGGACAGCCACATTCCCGCGGTAGCGTGACTACTTGGTCACAACACCTTTTCTTCTTACTTATTTTGGTTATTTCGGACTTATCCGCGAAGTCCACAAACTATATTCAATCTTTTGAATTAGTTTCCCTTTTCCTCAGTTCTCGCGCATATAGTGAGACTGAGGTTAGTTATCTTTCTTTCTTTCTTATATCTTATAACTCATTGTATATTACCTTATAGCTTTACTACTAGGTAATATAATAGTTCTCGCGCATATAGTGAGACTGAGCTTTACTACTAGAGCAAGCGGTTATTCCGTTACTTGGTTCCTCTGGTTCCTCAACTGCCAGGCCCACAGGAAGGGGGTTGATGATCTCAGGCGGTGGCATTTCTGAAGCCACTATTCGATGCCTACCACGTTGTTTCTGATTTACCATGGGCTTAGCCACAGTCACTACTGTGTGAGTGGCAGTGGGATCAGATTCACTCAGTGGTGGCGCATCCACTGCCTGTTGCATTCCTCTTGTTGTGACCATGTGGACATGTAGATGGGAGTAAGAAGAGAGGCGGAACTGTACAGTTGTGAGAATCCGAACTCAGATGATTTACCAATTTGTCGCGCATTTTGGTGGCTGTACTTCAGACTCATCCCCAGTGCTTATGTCATGTCCATTGCCTCCATAATCTAATATTAATGTTGTGATGTTCAGAAAGCTCTAAATAAAGGACATGCATGCACAACGTTGCACTCAAATCACGATACTATTCCACCATTCATGTGCAAATCAGCAAGAAAAAAATCTTATATTGCTGCGCCATCCAAACAATCATGAAGCGCTACTCGGACGCTTTCCAATGCATGTTGAATCGCCAAAATCGGTCGAGTTTTGAGTGAGCAGTGACGCAAAAGATAGATAGAAAAGACAGAGATCTTGTATTTTACACCCTCTAGTGTAATATCGAGTTCGACTCTGGTTCAGCGACTTCTGATTATCTTAAGACTTTGTGAGTCTCTTAACCACTTGAACTCAATCGCCGGCGGTCCCTCACATTTTGTAGGTTCACCGTGTGCATCCGCACCTGCTAAAGAGTAACAGGAAAATAGAAACACAAATGACCGAGTACAAGAAGCGGGCAAAGCACAGGGGAAAGATTGTGAAGCAGGTCATGCAGCACTGTTCTATTTCAATAGGATTAGAAGTCAACACTACTACCAGGCTAGTACCCTCCACTTCATTTTTCCAGTTGGATCCCGGATGTCTCTGGTGGCGTAGCGCGTTAAAGTTTCCCTTAGCTCACGAGGCGTCACCAGTGTTTGCTGGTGCCTTAACCAATTGCCTGCCACACCCGCAACCCATGCAGCTGACATCACAGTGCCACTCATAAACCCCCACGCGTGGTTGATCGTGGGAACGGGAGCATTGATGGCTGAGGCAAAAAGCTGAACCGCACTTCCATAGTTGGAGAACGCTGCAATCTGATTCCTACAATCAATACCGCCAACAGCGATAGAGCGAAAAGCGGAAGCAGGACTGACACCCGATGTGTCCTCGTGGTGGTCCCCTGCAGGGACTATAATGTGCAAACCCTCGTCGCCGGCAACATTGACGGCGTAATTAAAAGTGTAATCGAGCGGGGAGATGGCGGTTATTATTAAGACGAAATGGGGTCGGGGTTGAGTGGATAGAACTCGTTGGGCAGCCCATTCGAGGGCTAAGATTATGTCGCTCGTCAGTGCCTTGCCTAAATCGGAGAAAACCTTGATCGGAACAATGGTCGCCTCGGGTGCCGGGCCATACAATTTCCCCGCTGCCCTCCCGGCCACCTTCGTGCCATAACCGTTGGTATCAACCCAGGGATTACCGCCATTGACGGCCTGCGCTCGCGGGCAGATATGGGTGAGCATGTATGACAGTGCATAATGAGATACGCACAAAACCTTCAATCACACGGGTCCCTGTCCCCTGCTCGTTCATAAAGGCGGAGTGGGATTGAATGACACCGGTAGACATGACCCCAATTTCCACTGGCCGCTCAGAGCCGGGTCCTCCGGGTTCACCTGGGTCATTCCTTATTTCGGCTGAGACATCATTGAACTCTGTCGAACGCCCCCCATTCGCGTCATGAAGGCCATCGTAAATGGAAACTATGCCGTCAGCTTCGACATATTCAACTTCGGGGCAACCGAAAATTCGAGAAAGGGATGCTCCAGTTGCATGTGCAGAGTAGCCATTCAGCCCTACGATAGTTGGCCTATCTACGAGGCGAAATTCCCTAATATCAACTTACTTTTATACCGGTGATTGATTGAAAATTTCGACCCAGGGCTCCGGGCGGATATCCGAGTGATACCTTCGATATGATGTTCCATATCTTCACCAGATTTCAGCACGCTAAGCAATGAGTCAGCCAGTATTATGCTATGCCGTGTGTTAGACATACACAATGTACGAGTCGGGCTTTACTGGACCCTTCGGCTTGGTACGAACAGGAGCAGCAAGGGCCATTGTGATAGTGGAAACGAATTCAGCAATGGGAATGACCATGGTTGAGAACTTCATTGTGAGAGCACAAGGAAGACTGAGAGGACGTCCGAAGAGCCATATATATAGTGTATCAGCACAATGTGAAACCCGGTTTTTGCCTTGGTCCGCGCAACGCGCGACCCGGTGGCAAGCCGGGTTGGTCCCGGGAATAACCGGCGAACGCCGCCTGAAATGGCCGAACATGCCACTCTTTTCGCCTTGCAAGCCTGGTCACCATCAACGTTGCCATTGGCTGAGACCTCACCTGAATCCTCCCGCAGTTGTTGTTATATTTTTCAATCCACAATCGCACTGCAAACTGTGAACTCAAAACTAGGGCTCCTACCAGATCGGATTGATCCGCAGATTGATCAGGCTAATCAGCCAGGATCCGAACCATACCAGTCAGGGACACCTACTACTCGTGACCCAATGAATATAAAATGGTATGTGGGGGTTGCTGGTCAACCAACCTTCTTGGATCACCTTGGACAACCACTATGTGGGCCTTTATAGGGGGGACCTCAGGACGTTTGCATGGGGCCTAAAAGGCCTTTTTCACTATAAACGTCCTAGGACATCCTGGCCATTCAGTTTCATTCATTTGTTGCAAACGTCCTCAGATGTCCTAATTCAGTTTGATTCAATGGTTGCAAATTGTCCCGGAATGCCATACTCGTCCATCCCATGGTCTGTGCACATGCTGACCACTGTCTAGAGGGATGTCAACACTGTTTCCCACGGTCTGAACACACTTTACATAGTTGAATAGCCCCTTTGAATAGCTTCCAGAATATATATTTTGAGACTGAATTGACCAATAAATTATTGAGAAAAACGCAAAATACTTTTTTGGACACGAGTCTTTTGATGGTGGCTGTCCAACTTAATTAATGTCTGTGCACAATGCTGGTCACTGTCTGAAGGGGTGTCAGCACTGTTTCCCACGGCCCAAACACACATTACACAGATAGATAGCCCCTTTGAATAGCTTCCAGAATATGTATTTTGAGACTGAATTGACCAATAAATTATCGAGAAAAACACAAAATACTTTTTTGGACGCGAGTCTTTGGGTTAGTGTGGCTGTCCAACTCAATGTCTGTGCACAATGCTGGCCACTGTCTGAAGGGGTGTCAACACTGTTTCCCACGTCCCCAACACACTTTACGCAGATGGATAGCCCCTTTGAATAGCTTCCAGAATATATATTTTGAGACTGAATTGACCAATAAATCATCGAGAAAAACGCAAAATACTTTTTTGGACGCGAGTCTTTTGGGTTAGTGTGGCTGTCCACCTCATGTCTGTGCACAGTGCTGGTCATTGTCCGGAGGGGTGTCCAGACTGTTTCCCACGGTGTCAACACACTTTGCGTAGTTGGATAGCCCCTTCAAATAGCTTCCAGAATATATAATTTGAGACTAAATTGACAAGCAAGTTATTGAGAAAAATGCAAAATACTTTTTTGGATGCGATAGTGCTTGGGCCACTAAATTTCACTGACAGTCATCGAAGTCATCGAAATTCCCGGGTCACTGATATCACAAAGACTCGTGTCCAAAAAAGTATTTTGCATTTTTCTCAATAACTTGCTTGTCAATTTAGTCTCAAATTATAATGAGGGCACATAGGCAATACCCCCATCAAAGTCTGGATTCTGGAATAGGAAGTGCACACATTCCACCGGATCACGCCAGTAGAGTGTTTGTGGCTCATTGGGCGCTTCTTTGAGGATTATCGTATCGGACCTCCATGAAGGTGGGCCTGGCATTGTCTTCGCCCGATCGTACATTGAAGCTGCATCCTTCCAACTTGGTGGATGCAGATGGTCTGTCACCTAATCCCACAGCTGGTAGCGATCATTTATCTGGAATGTTAGGCTCACGCACCCATTTAAGCTTTCGGAAGCGATTAATCCCTCCTTGTGAAACACCCTCCATGCTCAACCAATAACAAAGTTCCCAATCCTCCTTGCTTTCATAGGGCCGACCACTCTCCTCCTGCTTAGATAGTCGGTCCCAAAGAGTCTCTATGGCACCTCCGGAGGTTTTTTTTGTTGTTATTTAATGGAGGTACGAGATAGACTTGTGTGTGGTCGGTCTGAATTCGCTTGGCACATTCCCCAGTGATGCTACATCTTATGCACCGTACCCGCTGTCGGCCTTACACATACTGTGCCTTCCGAGGTTGCAGTCATGCCGATTCAGGTTTATTGCCGCTGCATTCCTGGATCGATTTCTCCGGACGAATTCTGTGCATGTTCTTCGTCCACCTATACTACAGGGCTCTGGCCCACTTTCACCTAGTCCTTGGCTTTTCTTCCTTAGTCTCATTCCTTTGGCCTGCAAGCTGTGTTTTCGTCCAAGTTTTATTACTCTTCCTTGCTTCCGGTAAGCTTTTTCGGTCTCGCTGAGGGGGAGGTGTTGTGACCTTCGGTTACTCTCGGCAGGTGGGATCCCGATTGCTTATTCAGGTTTTTTCTAGGTTTCATTATCTTCGGTTGTTTCCTTGTTCTTTGTAACCTCTGCTCTTGTTCCTCCTGTTCCTCATTGTCCTTGTTTTTCGTGTTACCCTCCATCCCTGGTCTCCTGCCTGTTAATTACTGGCTTCCCGTCTTCAATTTCAAGAGGTTCTGGCATTGGCCAGGACTGTTGCCACGCTATTCTGTTGCATCTCATCCGGCATGCACACAAGCCGTTCATTAGGCGGTTTCACGGTTGGCTAGATTGCTAAACTCAGGAACTAAACTGGGCCTAATCCAGAAGATGTCGGGAGTGAGTTTGGGGTGGGTTTAAGCGGCTGTTAAGACAAGATCAAAAGCGTTGATCCTGATTGCTAATATTAACCATTTGTTTATTCTTCATATTGTCTCTTGATCCGCCCACTCTGGTCCTATTTAGTTAGTTGTACTTATAACTCGTGTAGGTTACACTGGATGCACCTCAGTTCATATATCGACTAGCATTCCCCCCTCATCTCTACCTCTTGTCATAAGGCTCCCATCCGAAATTGGGGCACCAGTGTGAGAACGAGCACAGCACTCCACCTGAGTTGCTGAAGCTAACTTCCCACCCCTCCGACCTTACGAGCCCAGGTGATTTCATGCAACCCTTACGGACACTCTGGATACGCATTCCTGACAGATACCCAACTGGCACTTGGGAAGGTGTGTCTTCCTTGGTGGGACGCTGTCACACACCATTGCATTAGACAGCAACGCGGTTTTTTTTTTCAATAGCATTCCACGCTCAGGCCCTGACAACAAAGGAATAAATACACAACTATTCATTCTGCCATTCCTGGCTCCAATATTGATATCCTATGTAACGATTCAGCATCACATTACCAGGGGTCCCCAGCAGATGGTCCGACTGGGAAGTGTGGTTGCTGCTAGTACCAGGCACTTGAGTGCGTTGCGATGTTTGCTGTTCATATCCGACACCCTGTGATTCTACTACCGTCACACCCCCACTTGGTCCATCCTGTCCCATCCACAGGTCTTCTGGCATCGAATCAGCATCCCACTCCCACCCATCAGAGAGCAGCTCTTTCAGCGGGCATTGAGAGTACAGATCGTCTAACATACTTGTATCCTCCTGGCATGCATCCAAGGGAGGAAGAGCAGCATCAGGTAATTCCTCCAGCATGGATCCAGCAGCATCTGGCTCATCTGAGGATGGATCCTCTGTCGCATCCTCGTCGCAGTCATCCTGCTGTGTTCCCACTGGAGCAGTACCTTGAGTCTGGTGATCACGGTGCAGTGGGCCTATGGTCAAAGGAGGGGTTCCCACCCATGCTCGACTTGCCACTTGACGCCAGCGATCGGGTCTCAGCACGACTGCCCTGTCATCGATTTGGTCAGAGGCCCTTCTGAGTTTCTTCGAGGTTGGACAAGCGGACGATGACCGTCTTCTCTTCCTTGAGGATTGTTCAGGGGTTGTTTGTGGTGATGATGATGACGATGTGGGTTGTGCTGGTGGGGGGATGCTGGCCAAGCTCGTCATGTCCTCGGCAGTGACTTTGCCATCCATGATTGCACTAGATATCAAGGGTTCCTGCACCATCCGGAACAGGAAATCCTTCATTCGGTGGGCCTTGTTCCAGCAATCATAGTCGGGCAAATCCTTTTCAAACATTATTCGCATTTGGAACTGAAGGTCATCCAGGAATAGGTCGACGTCACTGTGGGGCACCAAGGAAGGGAGAGAATCATCATGGCCAGAATTATGGGAAGGGGGGGAAGATGTAGTATCCAATGACGATGCCATAACAGGCGGCAAAGGAGATGCCATCATCCGCTCCAATGCATAACCCTGTGTGTCCCCGATGTTGTTGGGGGGTGGGATTGGGGGAAGCTCGTCGTACCTGGCCTTTGCCCGATTCATAGCTGTAGAGTCCTCTTGAAGCACGTCCTCCACTATACTGTGAAGCTGGTGGTTGAACTCCTCTGCCTCATCCAGCTCCCTCTCCTCCCGATCCAGCTCGACCCGCTTGCGTTGCACCATCTCCCTAGACTTTTCCACCTCATCATGGTGCGAACTCAGCTGTCCAAGGTGGTAGATACTGTCGTAGTACTTGTCCACCGCACCATCCAGCTGCTCCACGACTGCCTCTGACACCTGTCGAAGTTCCTGGAAGCAGTCTGGGGAAGCCGCTTCGATGACTACCCCAGAGATGAAATGATAGGCCTTATCTTTCCATCCAGCGAACCG